TTTAACGGTGCTTATTGAGATGCTATTGTTCAGGAATTAACCGGGTTTTACCTGCCAAAAGTATCTGATTTTACCGAAAACGGAATAGAGACACTTTTTTACTACATATGGATCCATTTTTAGTCAAAAAAGAGAGTGGGCCGATTCATAACCTTATACGGGCCCCTCCTTTACACATCGTTATATTTATTCCACGTTTTGTAACAGTTTGTGATTGAATTGTTGTTGTTGCTTCTTGAGGATGTAAAAACCAACATTTTTTATTTGCACATTTTTCGCGGAATTTGCATAGAATAGAAGACATTTATCTACAAAACAAAATAGATGAATAACTAGAGAATAATTGTACTGCAATGTCGACGGACTCTGTCGCTGCTGACAGCTGCCAAAAGTTATCAGTTCAATCAGTAGCTGTCCACGGCATCGCTTCCGCTATGATTTTCTATTTCCACTAATTTAAAAGAGAGAATTAGAGAGAATAATAGAACAGTGAACGAAATATAAGAACAGCGAAAGAGAGATGAGAGGAAATTATTTTTCTTCTCAAGAATAAATGGCTCAGAACAACTGATGCTAATGAGTTTTCGAGTCCAAAACACATTTTTCTTCCACTTGAGTAGATTATGGCGCCGAATCTGGACTTGTGTTTGAAAAAAGTACGTACAATGGTCAATCTTCAGTACTCAGAGAATTTTCTGCCGTTTTCAAAAACTTTCTACGCTGCGTAATTCTCTGGATCACGTCGTGCACATTTTGAAAGAAGTGACTAAATATGGAAAAAACTAGATTGCGATTGCACTGTCCACAAGTTGCGATGTCGACAGACTTTGAATATTGATAGCAGACAGAAACGGCTAGTAGCCAATTGCAAGAAAAATTAATGGGTCCCACATAAAGCACAAAGTCTAAATGTAAAAAGTGCGAACACTATGAATCAGATTCAATCAGTAGCTTTTCACAGGACGCATACGATTTCTAAAGGATCTATACTTAGGTGCTAAAACACTAGTGTAAAATGCTGATGGCGCCGAATATAGACTTATGTTGGAAAACAAACCATGCAGTTGTCAATCTGCAATATTCATAGACTATCCTCCCGTTTTCAGAAGTTTTCTACGTAGCATACTTTTCTAGATCATGTGGCCCACATTTTGAAAAAACAGTGCCTAAACAAATCCCTGAACGGTTGCATAATGTCTGTGGATATAAAAACAAAATTCTCAATAAAAATACATAATGTCTATCGAACTAAAAACTTATTCAAGAAGCATTGTATGTATACTTCCAAGCAGCAATTTGAAAAAGTATGCATGGTCTTTAAAGCATCATAATACATATAGCACCTTATAGTACAAAGACGTTTTGAAAGAGAAAAATGTGCTCATCTTGTTTGATTATACTATAGGGAAAAACTACGATTCATAAAAACTCGTACAAGCTATTATAAACTGCTTTGAGAAGAAGTAATATTCTCTATTCAAGTAAGATGAAAACATTTTTGTTTTCCGAAACGTGTTTGTACTACAAGATAATATCAAAATGGTAAGTGCTTAGTGGATAATACATGTATGCACTTCGAAATGATCACATAGGTCGAACATTTCGAGGTAGTTTCTGTAGTGACAGGCTCATAACGGAGTAAGCTTTTGAGTTTTCTCTTTCGTTTCTGTTTTTCTACATGTAGTGAATTTGTTGAACAGCAATTCTTTATAATTTCATGATTGTTTGTCTTGTCAATGAAGATCAAATATTTGATGTTGTTTTATAAGATCTTTATATGAAAGAAAGTTTTCGTAAATTTGGAAGTGTAGTAAAATACATTTTTTCTTTGAATATTATGAAAATAGCTTTTAAGTGGTTACTTCTCACACATAAAATAATGAACTTCATAAAGCCTTAAAATTTATTATTGGAGAAATCGTTTAAAAGATATTTTAAAAAATGCTCTCCTTAAAATGCAATCTTGAATCTCATGCCCTATCTTCATGGTTTCGTAGAGATATTTGTTTTCATATTTCCGCAAGATATATACAACAAAGACAAGCTAGTGTACTCATTAGAGAACTTATTGGTCGGCTACGAAAATCTAAACCAAAAAAGCACAATGATCTAATCAAATCCTAGATAGATAAAAAAGGAGCTCTACTTCTTACGGTACATTCTCCAAAAGACCTTCCTGATAATTCTAAGAAATTGCTTGCCCAAAAGGTTAACGTATGTCAATCCTTTCAAGCTTTTTATTGTACAGCAAATACTTCTGAAGAATCTATATCTTTTTGCAACAGTTTTCTTCCCCACGTAACCAATGCAAAACAAACAGTACCTTGCTTTAATTGCTTTTTAGATACTGCTCTCCAGCTTGATAAAGAAAATCTTCCTTCCACTTCACCAAAAATTAACATAAGGAAAAGTAGCAATTCATCCATTACCGATGTGACGAATAATAACATAATGTTAGCAAAAACAACAACACAATCAAGGATTAGTGCAAACAGAACAGCTTTTCAGCCGTTGGATAACTGAGTATCAAAATCATTTGATAGTAATTTATCTGCATACACACTAAGACACGTGCATACAAATAAACGTATAACGTATCTTTTTATATAGAAATCCAATTGATATGCCCGCAACAGCTTCGACTGCCCCATCAACTATTTTAAATATAATAAAACAGAATTCATAGAGAGTAAATATCAGTTGAAAGCGGTTCTAGCAGTACATGAGGCAATTTATGTAGCGTTATTGAAAGAAAAAGATATTTTGAATAATTCTCAACTACAATACAACGGCATACTTTTACCCCTTACGAGGAAACCATTCCAACTGTCCGATCGCTTTTTTCACGAAACCTAGTGGGCAATAGGTAATCCAGTGTGCTGAATCCGAATATCATAGTGGTTTGGGCGTCTAGGCCTCCAGAGATCTGTTTTCTCGAAAACCAGTTTTTAAAAATAGTTAGTTAAAAATAATCAAAGCCTTTCTTAATGAGGCGTAATTATAGCCCGCACATTTCTGATTAAGATGAGACATCTCCGCGCTTTATACGACCTTTCTTTGCAAAGTTATAAAATTTATAAGAAGAGCTCTAAATTACTTTCTTCTTATTTCTGTAGCTTTGACCTGATAATGAACATTTAGGACTCTTCTTATAAATTCTGTACCTTTGCAAAGAAAGGTCGTGTAGAGCTGGGAAATGTCTCATTTTAATCAGAAATATGCGAGCTACAATCATGCCTCAGTAAGAAAGGTTTTCGTTATCTTTTAGACTTCTGGAACTGATTGTCCACTAGGTTTAGTGAGAGGGAAGCGATCGGACAGTTGGAAAAGTTATCAGCGGTTTAGGTATGCTCATGTTAGAAATCAACCATATTATTCTGTAAAACAAGAGTCTAATTGATAAAGGTCTAATCTATGGTAGCAGGCTCTTCGCGAGTTAAACATTTCTTAATAACCACTCTGCTCACTATTATTAAATGTTTGTTGTTAATTTAACAATACTAATGATAACGCTGCAGACAATACTGTATCGCCAAGAATATGATCTAATATATAACTAAAAGAAAAAGAAGGAAACAAATGAGAGAATACTTGCTCTATTCTGTTCCCAAGAAACAGCAAACAGCGTTTGGCATACTTGTTGTAATACCAGTACATATGGTCATCGTATTATTTGTTTTTGCTTCTCATGAACAAAGTTGAGTTAGAAAATCTTAATATTTGACACCGCACAACAATCTAGCACTGTATTTACAGTAAAACATAATGATATAGAAATTATAACTAATCACTAAAATTTGCAAATAATCATCTAAGAATTCAAAAGTGTTATTTGTTTCGTCCTTGTTATAAAAATATAAATTTCAGACTAATATTATTCAATGGATCTGCTACGAATGAACCTGTCATTGGAAAGTTTTGTTTTGATTAAAAAATTGTCTTAAAAGAAAACCTGTTGATATAGTAGCTTTACAATCTCGAAAACATACATACATTCACATATTCAACGCTTCTTTTAATAATCCCAGTGGCCTTTGTTATTACTTTTTCCACCAATAGCACACAGAATTACGACTCATCCTGAATATCACCATCACTCTTATGCTTTACTCCTTTGTCTAATGACTTCGTTGTTACACTTCAGAAAAGAGAGATAAATTACTTGAGCCTGCGTATTCATAAAAATTTTAGAAACGAACTCAATAGGACGTAAGCGTGTTTTACGTTGTAAAATGGATTCTTTTACTATTGAAAAATAGGACTGGATTAATGCATCTGAAAAACGTTTAGTACCAAGACTAGATGTCTGCGATGTGACTGTCCAAATCATTCGCATATTTAGTAGAGAAATAGTAGATCAGTCCATTTTATCATTCTTAAGTACCCACCTAACTTACCGCTCTTCGAACTGTGTCAAAAGACAATTGATCATAGAGAGATGTTTTTAAAACACGAAAAACTGATATGTCACGAGTTATTGATCGTGTAAAAATTATCAATATCAGGATGCCAGAATTATACCCTCATGTAAGAACAAATGATCTTATAACAGGTTTAGAAGATCAGCTTGCTGTTCAAAAAAATAATATTTTTAATTGTTTAGTAGATATCAAACAAAAATACCTTTTTTAAAATATAAATCTGCACTGTGCTCTATATCAAGTCAGCTGTGCTATATGAACATCTCTTTCTTCGACACTTGAACGCCATTTCTCGTAAGATTACGAACATAAAGAGTACACTGCACTTATTACACATTAAAAAAAATATCTTAAAAAAACTGAAATAAAAGAGAACAGCTCCATCTGAATTAAATAAATAATCTCATATAATAGAGAAAAATAGAAACAAATACATGTCATGTCAAACGACACAAAGTTAGAGAAAGAATTCAAGTATTGTATGCAAAGAAGCTATGCATTATAGCGGTATGATTCTACCAATTACAATCGTGCAATAGTCACATAGATCGCCAGGGAGATACTGTGAATAAAACACATTTACAGAAAAAATGGCGAATCAGGTGCTAAGTTTTCACTTAATCGGATTGGTTCGCTTGTTATAGTATTATGAACTTCGATGTCTTGACCCAATGGAATTAATCGTGAACCAGATGCAATCGATTTGCTAAAAAACGAAAGAAATGTGTATAACAATTTATACTAGAATCAACCATCATTGCGTGGATCTCTGAAAAAAAAACAGAAATGATACTTTTCTTCTTTCACTTGCGTCTAAAGTACAAACTAAACACAATTTTCTCAGTATTGACAGAGTGACAATTTGATAACAAAAAAAAACAACAGAAAACATGTTGAGGGTACTTCGTTGGATTAAGATCAAGGTCAATATTAACACTTCATTCTAGTGACTTACGTATCAGACATTTCATTTGTTTCGAGATAATATGCGGCTCGACGTGCTAATAAATCAGCATATTTGACGGGTGCCGGTATAGCCACACTTCTTGTACATCGACCATACGTGTGGCATAGAGCATACGTTAACATCTGAACTTGATCGGGTGTCAATCGATTATCATCATATAAAACATAGTAATGAGTTGGACGACTTGTTCCCTTAAGGAAGAGAGACTTATTTGACAGTTATGAAATTATAGAAGAAAAAACAAAAAAGATCTTTAGAATCTTGCGTACTTTTGCGTATTTTTTATCTGACAAAAACAGTCTCGAAGCGTAATAACAAGGATTTAAAAATATTTTTGAGCAAAGAAGATATCTGCCACGCATGTGATGTTATTTTTTTTATATCAGATGAATTTAGTCTGCTAAAGTGTAACAAATTATAAAAAATATGCTGATGTGTTACGTACCAATGATCCATGATGACTATTTAAAAAAAAGTCGTACTTAAAAGGATGTGTAACGTCGTCTGAATCAATCACCGTTCCAGCTTTAACATTTTCATTTTCTTTGGGAAAAAATCGTATTCGATGACGTTTTTGTACAACAATATAAGTAATGTGTGGTCGATATGCTTCACATAAGTCAACACATGCTGTTCGTATAGAATTTAATTCTTTTTCAAACACAGAATCAAATTCACTCTCTGAAATTCCATCACGATAGAATACAATTGCTTTTGGCGGTGATTTATGACATTTATAATATTGTAAAATTAACTGATACATAATATTTTTCAAATCGACAATATATTCCCAACTTTCACCTTTGGCTTGAGGTGGCCGATGTTGAACACGAAGCTCTTTGAAATAACGATTTGGTATATCGTCAGCTGATGCCACAACGGCTACAACAGAATCACGATTGTCTGTTCCAGGCGCAGCGTGTGAAAGATCAGCACCACAATACATAATACCATGTCCAGCAGAAAAAAAATTAGCAATGATATTACTAGAAATGTGTAAGAATATTTATGAGGTTATGACATAAAGTATGGACGAACTTACTCAACTTTTAGTATGGAATTAATTCCATCTAATTTTGGATTCATTTTTAATACTAAATTTTTAATAGTACCGTAATTCCACTCATTTGAATTTTTCTTAGTACCTTTTATCACAGTTTTCCTTTTTAACATTTGTGTTACAATGCCAAACTCTAATTCAAACAAGGATTTCAATGGTCCATACTGATGTCCGCTATTATCCATTAAAATAAATACAAAAAATTTACAATCAACATTGCTTTCCACAAATTTTTTTAAGTCTACGATAATCTGACCAATATCTGGTGAACAACGTTCTCGAGAATTCCAATATTGTGTATAGAATGATGGCTGTGGGCAAGTGATTCCACGCTGATTAGCTATTTTTTCAAATTCATTATAAAACGCTAAGCAATCATTTTCAGATAAATCGGTTATATTGATCATAACCCATTTAGGAAATGATGTGGGTTTATAAAACTCTCCTATAACATCAAGAACAAAATGCAACTATTATCGACGCCAAAATAGTGCAGGTTCCCATTTTTTTCAAAACTTTTGATAAAAGAAAACTGGAGACTTGCGGTTTTCAGTAATCGAAAGTAGATACTTCAGACTAGTTTTCCACAAGCAAAAATGTCTTTTTAAAAAGTCTG